CTTCACATGTCTTTCACCCATGTCTATGAGCATAAGGTGATCATCTTTTTGTTCAAGGCAAACTGTTCTGCATTCGGCAGATTCTATCTCAGCCTACTTTAGAAATGCTGTTTCATAAAAATTCTCTCTATTGGCTCCTTCCAATTAGCCATACACATGCTCAAGTATCTGCCATTTTTCAAAACCAAAACCCTAAATCCTTAACCTACCTTCCTTTCACCCAACTATCGTTAATATCTTCCTTATGCATATTTATTTTTATATTTATTTCTTATAAAAATATTTTTATTGATTTCTAGAGAGAGATAAAGGGCTTATTCCCTGACTGGGAATCAAACTGGCAACCTTTTGGTGCACTGGATGATGTCCAACCCAACAAGCAACACAGGCCCAGGGCTGTTTCTTCATGCTTCTCCAAGGGCCACTCTATGGTCCAAGCTGCTATACTTCTTACTTCTAATCACTTCTCAACTCTCAGAAAATTGGCTTCTATATCTAATACTTTATTAAAGCCACTGTGGAGGAGGTCATTAATGATGACCTAAGTTCAAACAAAATAGATACTTTTAGTCCTTATTTTACTTAACCATTAGCAATATTGGATTTTTTAAATCTTCTTCCTTCGCTTCAGTGAAATCATAGTTTTTTATTTTACTCCTATCTCACTGACTTCTTGTTATAAAAAGAAATTTATCTTAAAATTAGTGGAGCACGAAAAATAAGCCAAATAGGTGCTAAGATCTGTATACACTTAAAACAATTCTACCAGGTAAGAACTATAATTCTCATTTTATAAAAAGAAGGTGGTCTGGGTGATGCTCCTCTATGCAAGGTCACATGAGGCAGGGATGTCCAACAATTAACAATAAGGAGGGAATATGCTAATTGACTGCCTCACCCTCAAGATGGTGGTGCCTACACACACAAGATGGTGGCTCCCAGTCCCCTCAGCCCTTCCTGCCTCCAGAGTCCCCCAGTCTTCTCAGCCCCCGAGCCACCCAGGGCCAGCCAGAGGTACAGGCAAGCCTCAGATGGCGGCTGCCCAGCTGCCTAGGGCTCCCTGGGGCTCAGGTAACCAGGGCCGGTAGAGGCTTGCACTGCAGCACTGGCAACGGGGCAGTGGAGGCGCTGCCGGCCCTGATGGGCTCCAAGGAGAGCCGGACAGGGGTGGGATGGTGGAGCAGGTGAGCAGGTGGCACCAGGCCAAGGCAGGTGTGAGCGGGGCCCCATGGCCCTGCCAGTCCATCACCACACAGATGGTGACCAGTGGCAGCAGCGAGAGGCAGCACTGCCACCTGGCTCACAGGCACTGAGGAAGCCAGGCAGGGCGCCTGGCCTGATCTATTGCCCCGCAGTCGGGATGGTGGAGCAGGTGAGGGGGCGGGCACCAGGCTACCGCAGGGTGCAAAGAGGGGCTGCAGGACTGGGGGGCGCAAGCTGGGGCTGTGAGCCTGGGGGCGTGACCTGGGGCCCCCTTCCCGGATCCCACAGGCCACCCTTAGGAACCCCACCCATGCATGAATTCGTGCACCGGGCCTCTAGTTATATTGTAATAGGTGAAAAGCTTTATTACTGATTTTCATGTGCCACTTTAAAAATACATGTCATCATTTTAGAGGTGGCATTTAGGTGAGTCAATTGTTCAACAGCTGACCAGGCTCCATTTAGACAATTGGTTATGAGTTATATAAGTTTTACAAATCTGATGGGAGTCTAAACTTAAACCTTACCAAATGCAGGAAGAAAAAGAGGTAAATTACAAAAAAAAATGCTTTAAGTACATGATGTTTAATTTCTTTTTTTATTTTTTTTATTTTTTTTTTTATTAATCAATCTTTATTGTTCATATTATTACAAAGGTTCCTCATTTCTTCCCCCCTCCACCAGGTTCCCACCCCACCCTTTGCCCCCTCCCCATCCCCCATTGTCCTCATCCATAGGTGCAGTTTATGTTCCGTCTCTTCTTCCCTCAATTTCCCCAATAGTAAATCCCTTTTCAGATAGTAAATCAGTTACTTAGCATTTTCTCATATCAATAATACCTCCACATGCCCAATGATACACTTCGCACAAAAGACATTTCCCAATAGGTCAACTAGCCAAATCCAGGCCACACCCAAGGCACTCACAGAACAACACCCCAGTCCTATACTAACTCAACATATCCAGATCTAAGCCTTCATCACTTGATTCAGCATACCCTCAAGTTTCCACGAAAGTTTCCAGCCATGTCTGAGAAGCAGCCGTGGGGCAGGGGCAGGCAAGGAGCGAGCTGTTTTGGGCCTGGCTGCTCAGGGCCTGGCCTCTGTTGCTCTGTTTCATTCCACAACCAGCTGCTCCGGGTCTGGTCACTGCCGCTCCCAACCTAGTTGCTCTGGACTTGGCTGCTGCTGCTCTGGGCCTGGCCACTCCCAGCCTGGCAGCCGCTACTCCGGGCCTGGCCGCACCAGCCCCGCCTGCTCCCCCGGGCCTGGCCGCTCTCAGCCTGGCAGCCGCTGCTCCGGGCCTGGCCGCACCCGACCCGCCTGCTCCCCCGGGCCTGGCCGCTCCCAGCCTGGCAGCCGCTGCTCCGGGCCTGGCCGCACCAGCCCCGCCTGCTCCCCCGGGCCTGGCCGCTCTCAGCCTGGCAGCCGCTGCTCCGGGCCTGGCCGCACCCGACCCGGCTGCTCCCCCGGGCCTGGCCGCTCCCAGCCTGGCAGCCGCTGCTCCGGGCCTGGCCCCACCCGACCCGGCTGCTCCCCCGGGCCTGGCCGCTCCCAGCCTGGCAGCCGCTGCTCCGGGCCTGGCCGCACCCGACCCGCCTGCTCCCCCGGGCCTGGCCGCTCCCAGCCTGGCAGCCGCTGCTCCGGGCCTGGCCGCACCAGCCCCGCCTGCTCCCCCGGGCCTGGCCGCTCTCAGCCTGGCAGCCGCTGCTCCGGGCCTGGCCGCACCCGACCCGCCTGCTCCCCCGGGCCTGGCCGCTCCCAGCCTGGCAGCCGCTGCTCCGGGCCTGGCCGCACCAGCCCCGCCTGCTCCCCCGGGCCTGGCCGCTCTCAGCCTGGCAGCCGCTGCTCCGGGCCTGGCCGCACCCGACCCGGCTGCTCCCCCGGGCCTGGCCGCTCCCAGCCTGGCAGCCGCTGCTCCGGGCCTGGCCCCACCCGACCCGGCTGCTCCCCCGGGCCTGGCCGCTCCCAGCCTGGCAGCCGCTGCTCCGGGCCTGGCCGCACCCGACCCGCCTGCTCCCCCGGGCCTGGCCGCTCCCAGCCTGGCAGCCGCTGCTCCGGGCCTGGCCGCACCCGACCCGCCTGCTCCCCTGGGCCTGGCCGCTCCCAGCCTGGCAGCCGCTGCTCCGGGCCTGGCCGCAACCGACCCGGCTGCTCTGGGCCCGGCTGCCCCGGGCTCGGCCGCTCCGAGCCTAGCCACTCCCGACCTGGATGCTCTGGGCTTGGCTACTGCTGTTCTGGGTCTGGCTGTCCCCACCCCGGCTGCTCTGGGCCCGGCTTCTCCGGGCCCGGCCACTCCGGGTCTGGGTGTTCCTGGACTGGCCACCCTGGGCTTGGCCGCCTCCGCCTCATGCCTGGCTGCCACTGCCCCAGGTCTGGCTACTCCAGTGCTGGCTGTTGCTGCTCCGGTTCTGGCTGCCACTGCCTTGTGCCTGGCCACTCTAGGCCTGGCCGTCGCTGTTCCAACATTCTGTCCTTTTTTTTTTTTTCTTTTTTCTTTTTAAAACGCATTTATGTTGCAATCTTGGCTGGTGAGTTGAGTTCTGACTTAGTCTTTGATTTTTCAAGATCTTCTTTGTATTCTTTCTTAAGTAATTTTACTATTTTTTGTTCTCACTTGATTTCTTCACATTGAGAACTACTTTGGTTTCTTCCTCCTTGTCCTGGGAGCTCAGCAGGTTGGCCTGTGGCACCCCTTTGTTCTGCGCGGGCTCCTGTGCTGCTTCAGCCTGTTGCCGGGATGGCGCCGCCCAGGAAGCAGCCCCCGGCCTTGGCTCCATTGCCCGAGCTCAGTGGTCAAAGGCTCAGGGGCACCCACGCCCCCAGGGGTCCCGTGGCCCGCCTCCTTGCTGGTGCCCCGTTGGCTGGAGTCCGGCAGGGGCTTCAGCTCCCCTCCGCGTTCCCCCAGCCTAGAGCTTTTTTTTTCTCCTTCCTGCTAGAGAAGTCCAGCATCAGAGTCAACAGACTGTCCTCTGCGCGCAGTTTGCGCCAGTCCCACAGACTGTCCTCTGTGCGCAGTTTTCGCGAGTCCCGGGGGCCTGGCCTTTCGCCGCTCTCCCCAGACGCCACCTCACAGCCCCGTCTCCCTCTGCCTGAGCCTGGGTCCCCAGGGATTAGCCCAGAACTGGGGTTCGGAGCAGTCCGGACTGAGGCCCAGCGCAGCCGGAGGCCCTGTTTCTTCTGGCTAGGGTAACCCAGCATCAGAGTCAACATTCAGTCCTCTGTGCGCATTGCGCGTGACTCCCGGGGCCCTGCTTTTCGCCGTTTTTCCGCCTCAAGGCCCCGTCTCCTCCCACCGGGGCCTGGGTCCCCAGGGTCTGGCCCACAACTGGGGCTCAGCGCTGCCGGTTTGGGGGGGCTCAGCGCTGCCGGTTCGGGGGTTCAGCCCAGGCTGGGGGTTTTATTTCCTTCCTGCTAGGGAAGGAAAGGCAGCTCCCCGCCCTCTCCTCCTCTCCGGCTGCGACCTCTCCGTGCGCGCGTGCGGGGAGGCACCGCGCGCAGCATGTCTCCGTACCTTAGGCTTTTTTTCAGCTCCTCTGATTTTCTTTCTGGTTTTCTCTTTCCTTCTTGTTGTAGAAATTTCAGTCAGTCAACTACCTGTAGCTCTGGGCAATGTCCACTCTACATTTTAGTTGTATTCCATTGAAATTGTTGTGTGCTGCTGCGGTTAGATGTCTACCCGAGCAGCCATCTTGGATCCTCTCTCATGTAGTTCTCACATGATGTTTAATTTCATTGAGGTATTTCCTCAAGCATTTCCCAAACCAACACTCATGATCAGAATAAGAAGAATTTTACCTGTAATAAACTCGAAGTGTCTGGATTTCCTCCTCCAGTTTTTTGTACTGTTGAACTGCAGTTTCTCTGGCTTGTTGCATGGCTAACAACTTTGCCTGCAAACAATAAAATATTTAAGAAATTTAAAATTAGTTTTTTTTTTTTAAAATTAGTTTTATATGCTAAAATACAATACTAGAGTATGAATAGGAGTCTTAAATTTATGATAGTTTTAAACCTATCAGCATTTTTAGGAATGTTTAATCCGTTTCCACAAAATAATCCAATTATATCAATACTGTAGAAATACTGTAGACTTGAACCTATTAAATATACCAACTTTGCTCATTCCTAAACTTCAACCTTATTCATCTGTATCATCAGATATATGCCCTTCTGCAATGTTTAACTTTAGCACAGAATCCAGCATGTGGAACAGGGGTTCAGAACGATATCAAGAGTAGAGATAAGCACACTGGGTGTTTCAGATACAAGTTTAATGTGGCTCCACTGCCCGATCAGACTAGATTTTCTTTTAACTTTATTAATAGTAAAACTCAGAAAATTCTAAATATGTTGCTGAGCCATCTTTGATATTTAACATTAAAAACACACACACACAAGACTGATCCTACAGATATGATTTAACCTTTTCTGCAGGAAAAAAAAATCTTTAAAGGGAGAATGGGAGAAATCCTGAATATTAGAGATATTTTATAAAAGAAATACTATTGTTCCTCTCTGCCTATAAAATTCAAACTAAAGGTTCTGCAATCAGAATTTCTATAGGATTTTAAAAAGAATTGCCACCTTCTAATCAGCATTCCCATTGGATTCCAGGCATAGCCAAAATGTTCTTTACTTTTAAAATATGACACTGAAAGATCAGGTTTCAGTTTTATTTACTTGGAGTTTAATTTGCATGAAAAACAATGTCTTTCACTTTAAATGATGCTTGATAGATAATACAGAGCCAATTATAATCACACATCTCACAAACTATACTAATGGCAATAGAGGCAGAAATTCACTAATTTTGGTGAACTCATATGATTTACTGGAATTATTTTCTTACATAAGGATGAAGTTATAAGACAAATTGTGAAATCCAGATCATAGTGTAATATAAGTGATCAATAAACAATGCCACTTTTCTATTTTAATAATGGAGAATTATAAAAACATGCAACAGTTTGTACCTTTATGTATACATTTAGGCACTAAATTGATTGATTTTTCTCTAGCTGGGCTAGCAAATTCTAACAGTTACCATATACAATAGAATGCTACCCAGCCATAAGAAAATATGAAATACTGCCATTTGTGACAACATAGATGGACCTTGAGAACATTATGCTAAGTGAAATATAATAAGTCATGCAGAAAAAGCTAAGAACCATATGATGTCATTCGTATGTGGGCTATAAAACAAACTCATGGACACAGACAGCAGAGTGATGGCTGCCACAGGGAGGGGAGAAGGGAGTGGAGGGATCTAATATGAGGTGAAGGAAGATCACTTGACTTTGGGTGGTGGGCGCCCAGTGAGATATACATATCTGGTAACCTACAGATCCACACCTGAAACCTGTATGATTCTACTGACCAATGTCACCTCAATCAATTTAATTAAAAAATTAAATTAGCACTTGTTTTATGTCACATTCTAGAATGATAGATGAAACATTCTCATAAATTATTCAAAAGCATTTAAAATAAAAATAGGTGCCTGGTTCTTGATGCCAATAATGAACAACTTTGCCAACTTTCGGTATGTTACAAAATGTGACTGAAATAGTACCTTTGGAGACACAGATACCCACTGTGTCAGTGGCAAAAAAAAAAGATTCACACAAAAGACCACATATCATATTAAATTTACATTTATTTAAGAAATATCAATATTAGACAGGAAACAATTTGTTAAATAAATGCTACTTTAATTGATTATTCTGACCTTTTTTACCTGGTACTTCAGGGGGGGACGGGGGGAGAACACAACCCAAAAATATAAACCCATGTTCTAGCAGGAAAATGCTAAAAAGCTGATTCTGCTTAAGAAAGCTCTGCCATAAAAATGGAATCATGAAAACTTTATTTAAATTCCTAAGTTTCAGGTAATAATGAACATTTCATTTCCACATTTAGTTGGTTGTAAAGATTTGGTGTTGTGTCACAGCAATCAACTTAATTTATCAATTCCAAACATCTAATCTTCTGCGGAGGCACTGGAGACCGCCTTCGAAGCTATGATAAACTTTGTGGCTTTACAACCTCCTTTCTCTATCAGATATGTTTTTATCTGGCCAGCACATCTTTTTTTGCGGGAAATGCCCTTAGCCTATGCCACAGTGATCTTGTTCAGTCCTGGGGCACAGGATGAACCCAGGTAGATATGACTCAGGCTGCTCTACACCATTCGAAGGAGAAAATAATCCTGATGACATCATTTGTGTCCCCAGATCCCCAAGGACCAAACAAATTCTTACCCATTTCTTGGACTTCTTGGGTACAGTAACCCTTTTTTATCTTTGGGTTTATGCTAGTTTGACTTGGATTGATGTTATATGTAATGTAAGAAAATAAAACTACAAAAAAAGCTAATTTAAATGAGCTGTTTCTATTGTATTTTCTAATTTCATTAATAGTACATAATTTCATTAATAGTACACATCAGAAATAAATTTAATATCACCAACATTAAGAAAATTAACAAATCAGATTTTTCCCCTGGTTTTGTGCGATTATATTTCCCATAATCTTTGGCAATTATTTTTATAAAAACTACATGCATTCACTTATGTTTATACTCACATAAAAACACATGTAAAAAAACAAAATTCAAAAAGTATAAAAAAGATACAATGTAAAGTAAATCTTTCTGCCATCTCCAACTCTCAGAACTACAAATCCTCTCTGATATTATTAGTTACCTGTTTGTTGTATATCCTTCCAGAGATAATCTGTGTACACATATATGTATATTTGCAACTAAATATACCTATGTGTAATACTGATGACATTCTTTACAATTATAAATCTTATTTTGCCTCCTTAAAAAATTCTTCCACCCCAACACATGCATCACCCTGACTGGTCACATTCCCTCCCTTTTTTCCCCACCCCTAAAGCGAAACATGTGCATGAATTTGGTTCATCATTTTCAAATACATAGTTATGCACTTACAGATAATATAGCTCACTGTTTACAGGTCTTTAAACATTATATACAGATACTCTAGATATTTCACAATTGATTTTTTGGTCCATGTTATACTTCTATTATTGTTATTGATACAAGAATGCATTCTGATAACACTTATCTTTATACAATGTCCCCCTGTGCACCATTACAGTCAATGCCCTCATGTTACACCCAACCCCTGTCAACCACTATGTGATTTTTATCCCTATAGTTTTTCCTTTTCTAGAATGTCAGATAAATGGATTCACATGGTAGGTAGCCTATTGAATTTGACATCTTTCACTTAATGCTTTTGGGATTTGTTCATATAACTACATGTATCAGTTCATTCCTTTATATCACTGAGTAGTATCCCATTGTATGGATATAACATAATCTGTATATCCATTCATTAGTGGATGGACATTTGGGTTGTTTCTAGCTTTTGGAATTATTTAAAAAGCTGCTACAAACATCTGCATATAGATAATTTTATGGAAATATATCTTCATTTCTCCTAAATAAGTACCATGGAGTGGAATTATTGATTTCTATGCTACATGTGCATATATAATACACTAGTGGCCCGGTGCAACAATTTGTGCACAAGGAGGAGGAAGAGGTATCCCTCAGCCAAGCCTACACCATCTCTAATCTGGGACCCCTCAGGGGATAACCGACAGTCGGATATCCCTCTCACAATCCACAACTGCTGGCTCTTAACAGCTCACCTTCCTGCCTGATTGCACCTAACTGCTTCTACCTGCCAGCCTGATTGTCCCTAACTTCTTCCCTGCTGGCTTGATTGCCCCTAACTACTTCTGCCTTGGCCCTGCGCCCAGGACTCAGGATTCCCTCCTCCAGCTGGCTACAGGCATCCAGGATCAAGGCTGCCTTCCTTCTGGTCAGCCACAGACACCGAGGGCTGGCTTCACTTGGGCTGGCTGCAGCCACAGGGGATGGTGGCTTTGCCTGGGCTGCAGCTGCAAGTACTGGCACCTGGGACTGCTTTTGCTTATCTTACACTTTCTCCTTCAATTCTGAATGATACTCTTACTGGGTATTCTTAGTTGGAGTTTTATCCTTTCTGTATTTTGAATATATCATGCCAATCCCCCTGGCTTGCATAGTTTCTACTGAAAAATGAGCTAACAGTCTTATGAGGTTGCCCTTATATGGAACTAGTTATTTTATTCGTGCTTTTGAAAATTCTTTCTAAAAAATATTTTTTATTGATTTCAGAGAGGAAGAGAGAGACAGAAACATTAATGATGAGAACCATTGATTGGCTGCCTCTGCATGCCTTTTACTGGGAATTAAGCCTACAACCCAGGCATATGCCCTGACCAGGAATTGAACTGTGATTCCCTGGTTCATAGGTCAATGCTCAATAACTGAGCCATGCGGGCAAGCTAAAGATTCTTTATCTTTCACTTTAGACTTTAAATTATAATGTGTCTTGATGTAGATATCTTTGGGCTCATCTTGTTTGGGACTTTGTGCTTCCTGGATAAGGATATTTATTTCCTTCTCTAGAATACAGACAAGTTTTCAAATTATTTCTTCAAAAAAGTTTTCTGCCTTTTCTTTGTCTTCTGCCTCTGGAATTCCTCTAATATGAAAGTCTATATACTTGATGTTGTCCCACAGGTTCCTTAAGCTATCCTCACCTAAAAATATTTGTTGTTCTACCATGTTTGGGTAATTTCCGCTTCTATGTGTTCTAGGTCACCGATCCATTCTGTTTCCTCTAGTCTGTTATAGATTCCCACTTGTGTATTTTTCTGTTCAGTTATTGCATTTTTATCTCTGCAAGTACTGTTTGGTACTTTCTTATATTTTCTCTTGTTGAAATTTTCACTGTGTTCATCCATTCTTCCTCTTAATTTGGTGAGCATTTTTATGCCCTACTCTGAACTCTTTATCAGGTAA